AGCTCGAATCCACATCTCAACAACTATACCTGCACACGAGTCGGAACCACCTAAAGTGGTCTGTACAACAAGACTAGGTGTAAATAAATATGCTCGAGTGCTACGATCACGTGAAGACTATGTGAATAATCACGGGTCACCTACGAGTCAGAACCACCTATAGTGGTCTGTACGACAGGATTGTGCACCTAACTTGGATCCAAGATGAGCGTGTGGTGCAGGAGGTGAACATCGCGTGAAGGACTGTGCCCTAACTCTGGGCGGGAGCACTAACACCGGGGTGCAAGTTTATGAGCTCTCAATACATCTCACATAACCACTAATTCACAACCATAAACTATAACTTATCTGGCACTTACCTATGCGTCTGCAGCACCAAACATACATATATGCAACTACAAATGCATAAATAAATAGGCAAACAATTTGCATGGCATTTTAAAACATATAAATATTCAATTTCATTTTCTAGGAAAACTCTCAAGTATATAGGTATATACGGAAAGCCAAAAGCCCACTCACTGGTATGTGGAAGGGTCGTAACCCCCAAGCCTTAAGTGATTGGGCTCGTCTTCAGGATAGGTCTCACCTATATGCGAAACAACTATAAAAACGTCAATTTAAAGCACATAACCAAAACTAGGTAATAACTTCTCATACAATGCTCAAATGGGATGCTTGAATATACCAACGTGATCTACTTAACCTCACGAACATCCCCATATTTTTAAAATAATTTTCTGACCACCCACACGCCACCACGCGTCGGCCACGTGCCTGGCACAAGTGTGGAAACCCTAACGGCGTTAGGGAATATTCCCTCCAAAAGCAAGCATATTCCGTTAAAACTAACCTAGCGCCATTAACTGCTGCTATGAATATTCCGTTAAGATTAACGGAATATTCCCCTTTTTTCTCCGACTAGTTGCTGGAAACTGGGAAAAACTTTAAACCTTTAAATCTCAGTCGTTTTTCATCCAAATTTCATGAAATTTGTACCAAAATGTAGCTTACAACGAGTAGAACAAAACCTTACCACTTTCAAGCCCTGAAATTCACGAAATCTCACCGGAGCAACCTCGATATTCCAGCCAAACTTGCAACTCACTGAACTTGGGCTTCCTGATGTCCAATTTCTTCCAAAATGCTTCTCCAAGCTTCAAGAGAGTGTCTTAAAGCTCACTATAAGCTTAGAATCCTCTGAAACCTTCGTATTTACGTATGCATGAACAGTACCTCGAACTGGGATCTCGGGTTCTTGGGTTTTCAAGGGTCTCACGTCCAACCACCACCACCAATTGACTCCTGATCTTGAAAGGAGTCCAAAAATACCTACATTGATCACGATCCGTGCCAAAAATGGGTGGATGGGAATTTATTCGTACACTTTGACGGAAATGGAAGAAAGTCCGAGAGAGAAGACAGAGAGAAAGGTTCACGGGTGTGTGTGTGTGTGGGTGTGTGGTCCTAGATGAGTCAACAACAAAAAAGAAACAACTAAACAACACCCCACAATGGCAACTAACAACCAAGGGTAAAATCATCATTTCACACCTACGGTACAAATAATTCGAAACGGGCTGTCACAATATATATTTATATGGGTAGAACTTCGAAGGGGAAGACTTACAGATTGGAGGCATTTACTTTGAATATTTTGAATTATTGAAGCATTGATTCGAATGATGAAAGGTCAAAATAGACTATGGGATGATTAACATTTTGAAGTTTGGAAACATACGTAATTTAGGTAATAAAAAAACATTTATGGCCGTTTGGTTTGCGGACTACGTTCTTTAGGAAAGAAACTCCCATGTCTTTCATGTGACAGTTAAAATACTAATAAAGTCGTCACTTAGTTTATGATCTAGTGATATTCATTTGTACTTGTAAGTGAGAGGTCTTATATTCAATTCTCGTCAAATGCGAATTTGAACCACATTATTGCTAGCTCATTATGAGATTAAGTCCATCTCCTCATCCTTAATGTAAATAATATCGTTTGTTAAAAAAAAAAAAAAAACTCTAATATGTCTTTCTCCAAAAATTGAGAGTGAAATAATTTAAAAGAGTGTATCTGAATTGTTAAAATAAGCTTACATTGGTTACAAAAATGAAAAGAAAAGAACCATATATAATGTTTTTGTGTCACATCCCGGCCCGGGGCGGATCACTTCCGAGGCTCGCGCCACCACCTTAGCACGATATTGTCCGCTTTGGGCCCCGACCACGCCCTCACGGTTTTGATTTTGGGAACTCACACGAGAACTTCCCGATGGGTCACCCATCCTGGGAATGCTCTCGCGTGCTACTCGCTTAACTTCGGAGTTCCTAAGGAACCCGAAGCCAGTGAGCTCCCAAAAGGCCTCATGCTAGGTAGAGATGGGAATATACTTTAAGGATCACTCTCATGGGCGATGTGGGATGTCACAATCCACCCCCCTTAGGGGCCCGATGTCCTCGTCGGCACACACGCGGCCAGGGTTAGGCTCTGATACCAAATTTGTCACATCCTGGCCTGGGGCGGATCACTACCCGAGCCCGCTCCACCACCGTAGCACGATATTGTCCGCTTTGAGCCCCGACCACGCCCTCACGATTTTGATTTTGGGAACTCACACGAGAACTTCCCGATGGGTCACCCATCCTGGGAATGCTCTCGCGCGCTACTCGCTTAACTTCGGAGTTTCTAAAGAACCCGAAGCCAGTGAACTCCCAAAAGACCTGGTGCTAGGTAGAGATGGGAATATACATTTAAGGATCACTCTCCTGGGCGATGTGGGATGTCACATTTTGGCATGACTTGATAGAATGTGAGTTGGAAAGAATTGGTGAATCTTGAGAATTACATGAATTTCTTATTGTCTTTGCACTTCACTTAAATATAACATTTCTATATATTTTTTGTCCTTTAAAGTATTTCCAGCTAAGATGAATGTTTTTCTCATTTATTGAAAAGGTTTCCAATCAACTAAAAATGTAAAATACTTATTTTGAGGAACTTTGCAACTCTTATCGGAGATGTTGTTGAAGATGTCTCATTAAGGACATAGATTACCACCTTATAAAAATTCGAATAGAGGATTACATGACGACTTTTTCGAATTGTCAATAACACATCACAAGTCATAAATACTTTTTTTATTTATCACAAAGTAGCTATAATTTTTAGGCAAGTAATGGCCAAGATGGAAACCAACCAAGATAAGACAAACAAATCAACATTTGTTTACAGCAAAGCCTTGGACACACTAGTTTTTTCAATTCTCTTTTTTCTATTATTTATTAAAAAAATTATTCTAAACTATTACAATAATTTAAAAAATTAAGAGAAATTTAAACCCGAGTAAACACCAAAAACTCTATTCACTAAGATAATAGAGCACAGTTTTCTACATTAAATTATATTCAAAGATTTCTAAATTTGATGGTCGGAAAGTAGAAGAGAAAGCATTGCCCAAATTTTCTTAACTAATCGAAAAATTCAAAGTATTTACAACCACAATTTCGGGAAGAAAAAAAAAAAAAAAAAACACAACCACAAAAAACCAACATTTTGTTTGTTCTAATCAGCCAAGAAACGAAGAGCGCCAGAAATTTCCAGTGCAATCAATGAGAGCACGCCATCCTCTGCATGCGGTTCTTGAGAATTCCATTGTACAAAGCGATTCGACTCTCCGGAATCCTTCATCGAATTTCGTTTCTGCAACTTGTTTTGAGTTTGCTCTGCTTTCTACCGATCGGTTCTTCCTCCTCTCCATCCCCAATGGGCTCCTCCTCGTCAATATTTTCAGCAAAATGCACCCTCTTTTTCTTCCTCTCCCTCTTCTTGTCACCTGAACAAAACAACCCAACAAACATAAGAAAAGAAAATTACCGAGCAATGAGAAACAAGAAAGAAAATGTAAGCCAGTTGGTCAGGAAAGTGTGCCAGCCGCGTTAGTTTGGAGTAGTTTAGAATATCGCTGCGTCAAATAAAAAAAAAAATTATGTAAGAGAAACCCAATTACCTGAACACAAGCAAGAACGCAGAGGGATTTGGTTTATGATCTAGTGATATTCATTTGTACTTGTAAGTGAGAGATCTTATATTCAATTCTCATCAAATGCAAATATGAACTACATTATTGCTAGCTTATTATGAGATTAAGTCCATCTCCTCATCCTTAATGTAAATAATATCGTTTGTTAAAAAAAAAAAATAAAAAATAAAAATAAAAAACCTCTAATATGTCTTTCTCCAAAAATTGAGAGTGAAATAATTTAAAAGAGTGTATCTGAATTGTTAAAATAAGCTTACATTGGTTACAAAAATGAAAAGAAAAGAACCATATATAATGTTTTTGGCATGACTTGATAGAATGTGAGTTGGAAAGAATTGGTGAATCTTGAGAATTACATGAATTTCTTATTGTCTTTGCACTTCACTTAAATATAACATTTCTAAATATTTTTTGTCCTTTAAAGTATTTCCAGCTAAGATGAATGTTTTTCTCATTTATTGAAAAGGTTTCCTATCAACTAAAAATGTAAAATACTTATTTTGAGGAACTTTGCAACTCTTATCGGAGATGTTGTTGAAGATGTCTCGTTAAGGACATATATTACCACCTTATAAAAATTCGAATATAGGATTACATGATTTTTTCGAATTGTCAATAACACATCACAAGTCATAAATACTTTTTTTATTTATCACAAAGTAGCTACAATTTTTAGGCAAGTAATGGCCAAGATGGAAACCAACCAAGATAGGACAAACAAATCAACATTTGTTACGGCAAAGCCTTGGACACAGTAGTTTTTTCAATTCTTTTTTTTTCTATTATTTATTAAAAAAATTATTCTAAACTATTACAATAATTTAAAAAATTGAGAGAATTTTAAACCCGAGTAAACACCAAAAACTCTATTCACTAAGATAATAGAGCACAGTTTTCTACATTAAATTATATTCAAAGATTTCTAAATTTGATGGCCGGAAAGTAGAACAGAAAGCATTGCCCAAATTTTCTTAACTAATCGAAAAATTCAAAGTATTTACAACCACAATTTTGGGAAGAAAAAAAAAAAGAAAAAAACACAACCACAAAAAACCAACATTTTGTTTGTTCTAATCAGCCAAGAAACGAAGAGCGCCAGAAATTTCCAGAGCAATCAATGAGAGCACGCCATCCTCTGGATGCGGTTCTTGAGAATTCCATTGTACAAAGCGATTCGATTCTCCGGAATCCTTCGTCGAATTTCGTTTCTGCAACTTGTTTTGAGTTTGCTCTGCTTTCTACCGATCGGTTCTTCCTCCTCTCCATCCCCAATTGGCTCCTCCTCGTCAATATTTTCAGCAAAATGCACCCTCTTTTTCTTCCTCTCCCTCTTCTTGTCACCTGAACAAAACAACCCAACAAACATAAGAAAAGAAAATTACCGAGCAATGAGAAACAAGAAAGAAAACGTAAGCCAGTTGGTCAGAAAAGTGTGCCAGCCGCGTTAGTTTGGAGTAGTTTAGAATATCGCTGCGTCAAATAAAAAAAAATATGTAAGAGAAACCCAATTACCTGAACACAAGCAAGAACGCAGAGGGATTTGGTTTTTAGACTGATTGGAAAGTTGGGTTGGTGGTAAAGTCTTTTGCCTGGAGAAAACAAGACAAACGAGAGTGCTGGAGACGGCCATGGCAGTTGCCAGGACAAAACCTTGAGAGCTCAGCATAGAAGACATGGCGGAACAAATAACCAGAGGATAGTTTGGTGCAAAAAAGGAAAGATGTTGAGGGGTTTCAGGTCACCGATCGAAGAGGCGTTTTATGTTATGTTTGTGAATTGTTGCATACAAAAGAACATGTAGAGGCGGCTGCGTTACGTAAGAGGATTTCTAAACAAAATGTAAAATATCTGAATCAATGCTACCAGTGAAAAATGATGGCAAATATTTTTAAACAAAAAGTTAAAATGTACTAATCAACACTAACAGTAAAAAAAAAAAAATGCCATAATCAACAATATTTTTGTTTGTTAATTATAAGTGCATTTTATTAATTAATTAATATTTTGTTTTAAAACATTTATTATTAAAATTTCATGTTAATGTTGCCACTATTGCTCAGTTGTTCATTGAGAACGTTTTTAAATTGCACGGGATACCCAACTCAATTGTCAGTGATTGTGATCCGATGTTTATAAGTTTTTTTGGAGAGAATTTGTCGAACTTCAAGGCTCCAAGTTATGCATGAGTTCTGGTTATCTCCCTCAGAGTGATGGACAAACTGAGGGGATGAACAGGTGTCAAGAAACTTACTTGAGGTGCTTTGTTGAGGGCAACCAAAGAAATGGGTAAAATGGTTACCATGGGCATATTGGTGTTTCAAAACTGCCTATCATACTTCTTCCAAGTATACTCCATTTAAGTTATCCTCCCAAACACATTGCCCCATATGAAGTTGGCTCCACTAAAGTGGCTTCCATGGAACATAATTTGCTGGAAAAGATGGAATGCTAGCCCTCAAAAGCAATTTAGAGTTGGCACAGAATAGAATGAAAGTGCAGGCTAACAGAAGAAGAACTGAGACACTTTGATATTGGTGATAGGGTGTACCTGAAGCTAGTGACGTACCAGTTGCAGTCCTTGGTTAACCACAGTTATCAGAAACTGCAACCAAGGTTATATGGTGTTGTTGCTTATACGTTGAAGTTACCAGATGGGTCCAAAATTCATCATGTCTTTCATGTAAGCTGTCCCAAAAAGCAGCTTGGGCTCAATGTGGTTCCACAGGTGAATTTGCAACTAGTAGTTGATTATGGTTTAATGCAGAATGCCCCAATGACAATCCTAGCTCGCAGGATGTACAAAAAAGGTAATGCTGCTGGAGTGCAACTTTTAGCGCAAACAACGATTCCCGGACTTTGCAGTATGAACCTTGGGGACAAGGTTGTTTTGAAGGTAAAGGTATTGTTATGTTCTGGTGATTGCTTTAATCACAAGCAATCAATTTGGGGGTCAATTTGTATTAGTTTGGGTTTAATTTGTAATTTGCACTTCTTTATTGAAGCTTATTTTGTTACTTTATCTGTTAGTGCCAAGCGGCCAGTCACACATGCGTAATGGGCTAGTTAAGCCATATTCTCTCTCTTCCAACGATTAGATATAATAAAATAAAATGTTCAAAAAGTATTAAGCTGAGCTCCTTCTTCTTCCATCGCCATTTCTGTAACTTGTAAGTTGGTTAAGGTTGAATCACTACTGGTTTGGTGTTATCAGTAATAGCCATTGGGCCTACAACAGTGCTCGCTGCAATCCCACTCACTCCGGCCTTGTCGAGGTCGATGGTGGTGTAGTGAGTTCGACCGTGCCTAGTCCAAAGCCGGCGGGGATGTGACAAAATCTCAAAATCCTGGTCCTCCATCTCAAAAATGATGTACACCGACATCAGAGATGGGATTATGGCCATCACTGACGACTTACAGTCGCCAGCTGCATCGGAGAAACCAAGGAGGCAGCAGGGTGGGTGGAAGAAATGGTTGTGGGGTGGTAACGATGGTGGCAGGGTGGTGGTGGTTGTGGCTGTACGACAATACTAAAATTCTTTCGTTCAAAATTTAAGTTTATTTTCTTCATCCAAAACCACCATAGTTCAACATATAGATTCAAAAACAAACTAATGCTGAGCATGAGCACATCACCAACCAAGGGCAAAGGGGCCAGATAAGAGAAGAAAAACATGGCTCATAAGTTATATCAGTCAGCAAATCACACCACATCATTACCACATCACTATAAAACCTGCTGTGAACATCCTGCCCCATTAAAAACATCTATGCAGGTTGTGAAGCAGATAAGACTTATTAATCTACCATCACAAATACTAGTGTAAAACAAAAAGACAATGTAGAAGGTTTATGTAAAAACAAAATGACAATGTAGAAGGTTTTACTTTGACAGCCCAAGTGACAAAAAGCACACTTAGGTAGTAAGGATCGGAGGAAGGTAGTCGGATTTGGCACCAAGGATACGAGCTTTGGTGTCAGGGAAGAATTCAAATCCTGGCAACTCTGTAACAGTTCCTTCGCTGGTAACACCAATTGGATAGCGAAGCAAGTGACCAGGCAAATCGTGTTCAAGAGTTTCACTTGAATACAGATCCCAGTACTTGTCAGCAATCTGGTTCACCTTTGAAATACATTCAATGCTTTCTGGCTGGAGGAAGACCTCATCAAGCATCCCAAGGTGCTCATACCATAGTGCCATACGGAAACCATGGATCTGACCACGTGCTGGCTCCCTGACTGACAGATGATATGGTTGGTAGGCTCCCATGGCTATTTCAGAGTCTCTCGCACCATCCATTGATCTCTGGTTGATGTTGGCAGATCCAATAATTATGTACTCATCGTCAACTGCAGAAATGAGAGTGAGTCAATTATGGGTAAAATATAGAACCACCATCGTCCTATGAAACGCAACACTATAGTAGAAAGGATTGTATATTTCTTTCTAGCAGACTATCTAATATGTATAAAGTTGTTTCAAACACCATAAAACTGAATAATCCAGTGGAGAGTTGGGCTTACTACATTTGAATGGAGATGTTGCGGGGCAGGAACAATGTTCATGAATATAAATCCACAAAAAGATATGTCCAAAGTGAGTAACACAAAGTTTATAATTGTGGAGTTACCTATCATCATCTTGGTATGAACATAAATCATGAAGCGCCGGGCTTCCTGAGCTCTTTGATAGTCCGAATCTGCTTCTGGTGCCTCTGAGGGTTCATATTCCCCACGCTTCTTCGCCTCCCGATTCCCAAGGCAGAAAAATGTCAAGTAGCTACGAGGATCCTCCTCAAGACCTTGTGCATCTAATGCGCTCTTAATATCTGAATACATCATATTCATAGTCCTCCTCTGCCAGTCTAATATTGCCTGAACAGATGCCGACTCTGGGATCCCCTCTGGCCACATTGGGACAACAACATAGACAGTAAACCTCTCCCCTGCTTCAATCTTGCTAGCAATCTTAAGTGAAAGCTCCCTTGGAATTACATGCAAAGCACCAATGTCATCAGGCTTGATACCATCAGCCTCCCAGGCAAAAGAGCTCCCAAGAAAGTACTGATTTTCAATATAGATGAAATTCTTTGCGCGGCGAATAGCATGAATATAAGCATCCTGAATGCTTCGGTCAATGATGTTATCCTTCCCACTAACAAGTCCAGCTCTAGCTGCATCTTCAGGCGTATCTGGGAAGCCAAAAGCAGCTCCTCCGTCAATTGACCTGAATAACTGAACATTCCACGTCTCATGGTCATCTGGGAACATAACAGGAGAAGGGGGAATAATGATTTCGTCCAGCTCTCTAAGCTGAACAAGTAAATCTTTACCACCTTGCTTTCTCCATCTCTGCTCAAAGTTAAACAAAACATCCCAAGCAATAGGCCCTTCTAGTCGAGAGTGGATATCATGCCACGGTTCCCTTGGACCACCTTTTGTAATTGAAGCACCAGTAAAATTTGGCTGATGGAAATCATCATGGTGTGCAGTATCCAATGTCCTGAAAAGTGAATGGAAGGGGGTATCATATCTTCCATCACACAGATCAAGACCCCCAACAAAACTCACAATTCTTCTCCTCTCTGATTCTCCATTTGGCAAGTCGTGGTCCACAACCACAATCTTCTGGTGATGAGTGAACATGGTAGAGACTTGTGCGCCCTGAATAATGCTCCCACCACCATCAGGATTACGGGGGCATAATACACAATGCACGTCAGTATTCTGGAAGAACTGTGCAGTTTCTTCGTCATGAGTGGCCATCAATCCATCTCTTTTCAATAAACCAACAGACGTTCTGTCATCCCAAACAAGCACAAGAACCCTAACACCTTCACTTGCTTTCTTTTTAAGCAATTCACCGATGGTGATGTCTCCACCAGGCTTTGGCCTTCTTGAGTCCCGTACCAAGGAAATTTCAGTATAAACTGACCAACCAGTAATATAGATCAGGTGCTTTGCATTAGTTATTGCATCAAAGATGTCTTCCCAGCATCTGTGGGGCTCGTAATGCTTGCCTCCAGCAAGAGGAATTTTAGGAATAAATTTATCTGGGATATGAGCATCTTGGTAAAGGGAAACCTTACACCCTTTTCTCTGTGAGAAAAATGTAAATGGAACTCCAGGAAACTTAGGACTCCTAATACCCAGACCCCAACTGCGGTCCTTTGTAACATGGAAAAATTGTAGTTTCACATGTATTTTAGGATTTCCATGAACGGGCTCCTTTTTTCCATCCAAAATTTCAGCCCATTGATCCACTTCTTCCCCCTCTATGAGTTCTTGAACAGGTACATAAGCTCTTCCAATTAATGATGCCCCAATAGGGTTAGACTCTTTGACAGTAAATATAACGTTTGCAGCAGTATGGGCACAGTAAATGTGGAAAGACTCATACCACCTGGGATTAGAGGGCTCTTTCTCTATAACCCTAGTCCTACCAACCCTAGCCCTTTCCAGATCAACGGTTGCATAGAGTCTACTAATTCCTTTGCCAATACCAACAGTCTCCTCAAGTTTTCCTGTAATCTGCACAGATAAATTCTTAAATAAGACAATACAAAGGTAAATAGAAAAAGAGACAACTGTGTAGATAGTTCAAAGTTTCTAGTTCATCGTAATCTTGTTTGCACCTCCTACAAGCAACCTTAAAAACTTTTACTAGGCAACGGATGTCAATTAGTTAAGAATGCTTTCAGTTATCTGACAAATGAATATTGACCAAAACAAAATCTGATAAATGAAGTGAAGAAAAGGAGAACATGATGATAGTGTTGAGCATCTTATATAGGATGACATGTAACTTGCACTTCCCAAGATAGGAAAATACCCTCCAAAAAATTGAATGTGTGCATATAGAAAATCAACAGTGGCCATATCGAAAACCATAAATGGACACCGGAGAGGCTATGCATAAATCTCAAACATATAGCACCCTACATGAACGCAATTCAATGGTATAACAGGACAGCCTATAACAAAAATCAATCTCGCATATATAGTGCATATAAAGCTTCACTTTTTGATGTTCTTATGCACGAGAGGAGATCCTTCAATAAATCAAACACAAAAATGCGGAAAGCTATATGACATAGTGCAGGTTCCAATCCAAAAGAAAATGGATGCACACAGTCTAATCAACTGAATACAACAGCCTTCTCTTGAAAACATCAGACACAGAGGTCATACTAGTTACCAATTAATGTATATATAGTACACCAGTGGGGAATGAGCAAACTAATTACTATAATTAACAATGTGGAGTTAGCATTGATCATCTGACCACAAATGTCCTTGACCATTATTTTATGAGTCCATTTCCTCCTTAGACCCTATAGTCCAAGAATATTGTGATCAGTGGTGGATCCAGGATGGGCCTAATCAAGGTAAGATAGGCGCTAGTCGAGCAACTAGCTGAGACCTAGGGCCTTGTGCCTGTGTGCCTAGACGGGGCCTAGACAGAGGTACATGCAGAATAGGCGGATTAAGTACCTATTTACACCTAAAAACAACAATATATGTATTGAGAATTTGGATTTATATATTATTTTAATTAAGTTTATTATTTAACATATAACAACCAAAAATATCAGAATTTTTGCTCTAGTATTTTAATGAATTTGATGGTATGAGATGAATATTCAAGTAATTATGAGTTCCAGTACTTTACAAAATATTTTCCAGATGTTGTATGAATTTATAGTAAATTTTTCTAAAATTAACATCAAACATATGGTATAAAAAGTACTGGTAGAGTAATACACCATCCTTTTATTAATTAAAATACTACTTGGCACAACCTAATTGGTCAACAATTAAAAAAAACAAACAGGGAGTTGGTCCCGTGGGAAATGGAGAGAAAGTCTTTCTTCTTTGTAGGAATCAGGGTCCAAGAACAGCAAAGTCATGGTGGTCTTCTCTATGTTCTTCTCTAATTAGACATTTCTTTTTGAGTCAAAGCTTCTATTGCACAACCATGTTGATATTCTCTCTTCCACCACCTGCCCAGACCGTTGGGTGGTCCCCGAAGGTCCTCACAGGAGCATCTTTGAACTTCCAAGTGGTCCCGGGACCACCTGGGTCCATATATGCATCCACCCCTGATTGTGATCACACACAGTTCGATCCTAATCCAACGGTGGAGGAGAAAGTACAACAACAATAAGTTAAATGACTTAATCCAACAGTGGATGACCATTGGACCATGGGGTCTAGGAGTAGGGGTCTGACTATTTTATATAAAAATAGTAATGGTCATGATTTTCTCATTCATTTTCTATAAGAAACAACATACCCAAAAGATCTCATTTTATGCAAGTGAAATAAATTTTAGTTAATTATCCTACAACTTCAACCGACCTCACTTAATGGAATAAGACTTTGTTGTTATTATATCCTATACTTGATTCTCAATATAAATTAAAATGACACCACTTAGTACTACCGTCTATGATATTTCTCTTCACTTGTAAGATGTCTTAGGTTCAAATCTCGTGACGAGTTCGTAACCAATTAATATCCCATTTCAAAGACCATTACAAACACGCTCCCAAAATTATATGCTCATAGTTACAAAAGATCTCAAATCACCCTTATCAGCTCGGATCTCAAATCAACAAAAATAAATAAATTAAAATCATAAATTATACCTTGCGGAGGAAATTCCCACTACTACTATGCAGCTTATCAACCTCATAAATCGTAGCGTGAAGCGTCCCATGAAGCCAATGGTTTTCTGCCTCCGTCATTTCTCACCTACACACAATGATCAACCAAAACAAACAAAACCCACTTCGCATCAAACCCCAAACCACCAAAAAAACCAAGAAAAATTCAAACTTTACGCAAAACAAATCAGAAACCGATCGGATCACACAGCTAAAAAGTACCCAACTAATTGTTTTTCAATATCTTGCAATGATAAGTGAATTAAGGGTGATCCCAATCAGAATTGACTGATAATACAATTGTTCATCAGAGCAGGAAAAGTTGAGAGGCACTTACTTTTGGGTTTCAGAGAGAGAGAGTGCTCTGAGGAAGTAGAAGGAGAAAGAGCAAATGAGGAAGAGGGAGAGGAGGAGAATGAGGATGTGATCCCGTATTGGCTCGGCGATGTAATATTTAAAATATTAGTTGATGGTGATATACTTTAACATCCTCATAATGTGAAAAATCCATGAAGAGACAGAAAGCGAGATCCGCTTAATTTGCTATTAAAAGTAGGAGAATGGACAAAGATGAATGATTCTCCTCCCTTTTCTCCTTTCTTTCCCTCCTCCTCCCCATGACTTTCTTTCGGTAATTTGCTTTTAAAAAAAAGGTTAATTTTAGTTTATTACTCTCCATTTCGTGATTTTTAACATTTAATATATGAAATTTTTTTCATTTCAAAGTTATATCTTAAATCTTAATTTTTAAATAATCTTATATATCCGTTAATTTAACTGTTAAATCAAACGTTAATTAATGACGTAACATCTATATAGATAATGAATAAACGCATGTATCATTAAGGGTGACTGTAGAAACTAAAAAATTAAAAAAATAGAAAATTAATTTAAAATTTAAAAAACGAAACCTAAACCTAAATCTTAATCATCCCTCATTGCTCAGACCACTTCTTACTCCTCTGTCTTCGCCAACTCGGTCTCCCTCCTCCGTCCCTTTCCCCACTCGCACTCGTCCTTCCCTCACCACCACCTCCCAACCCATCCTTTAATCCCTCCATACCTGACCTGGATTGCCGATTTGGACTCTCCACCACCATGAAAACATGGAATTTGCAGGTGCGGCGTGACTGGATTTTGTCTCGGCGGCATGATCTTCGGCCTAATCCTCCGCCGCCTGATTTCTCCTTTGTAATCTCCAACCTTGCTCTCAAATCTGCTGACTCACTTCCACTCGAGCTCCGACTAATCGGTCAACGGCAGCAGTAATCCCTCCTGCGGTTGCTATCGGCCCTCTGATTATATACAGGTACACCGCCGTTCAGGTGGATTTCGTCTCAGTGAAGGGGATTGGGAGCGAGGGGGTGAGGTAGGAAAGGAGGGTTGGATGGGATGCATAGGAGAGAAGGGAGAAGGGGGTTAGGGAGTGAAGGAGGGGTGGATCGAACTCTTCCTCTGTGATCGGGTTTCGAAGGAAGTATGGAATCGGGTTTTTTTAACCGGAGGGGGAGATCTTGCAGACGGGAAGAGAGGAGGAGACGGCCTTCACCTTCGTCCCCAAATTTCTGACCGCATCTCTCTGTCTCCATTGTAGAGACATATTTTTCGAAAGGGCAATGAATTCGTCCATCCATGGTTTAGCACCGTTATGTAGAACCCAATTTGACGAGCCAATTTGTACTTGGTTGAAAGCCTTGAAGTAGTTGAAGAGTTGAGTCTTGAGACTAGGAAGCGTGAGGTTTGATTTTTTTTTTTTTTTTTTTTTTTAGTTTTTTAAGTTTAGTTTTTTAATTTTTAATTTTTTAAAATTTTTTATTTTCACATGGGTCCTTAATGACAAATGGTGCCTGTTCATTGCCTATATAGGCATCAAGTCACCAATTAATAGCTAACTGAACAGTCAACTTAACGGATGTATGAGACTGTCTGAAAATTAAGACTTGAGGTATGGTTCTGGGATAAAAAAATTTCATGTACCAATGTTGAAAACCATGAAACTTTAAGGTAGTAAATTGAGATTAATCCTTTAAAAAAATATTACTTTTCTTAACGTATATTTATACGATATTTCTAATAAAGATGAGATTACATGTGCTAGTGTCACATCCCGATCAAGGGCGGATCATTTTTCGGATCCGCTCCATCACCGTAGCACGATATTGTCTGTTTTGGGCTTACCATTCCCTCACGGTTTTGTTTTTGAGAATTTATGAGCAACTTCCCAATGAGTCACCCATCATAGGATTGCTCTAGCCCCCTTCTCGCTTAACTTCGGAGTTCCTTGTTTTTGGGAACTTATGAGCAACTTCCCAGTGAGTCACCCATCATAGGATTGCTCTAGCCCCCTTCTCGCTTAACTTCGGAGTTCCTACGAAACTCAAAACCAGTGAGCTCCCAAAAAGCCTCGTGCTAGGTAGGGATGAGAATATACATTTAAGAATCACTTCCCTAAGCGATGTGAGATGTTATAGCTGGGCCTTATTTTTATTAGAGAAATGGTACACAATCTCTTTATTCAAAGGAATTTCCATTTTTTGGTAAAAATTTGGATTAGTTGTAGGTCTCACTTCACCTCGAAATTCAACAATTCGAATTGTCTGTTTTGTAACTCTCGATTCATAGATCATCTTTACTAAAATTCAATTTAATTAGAAAACATTTGCCTATTTAATTATTATAATGAAATTTCTTTATTTCTTATAGAACAAAGTGTTCGTCAATTTCTTTGAACTCAATTAGATGCCTCAAATATTTCCGATTTGACTTATATTTTGCTAGGATGATCTATGACATCTAACTTGAAAAATAGACGGGTCAGATTGTTAAAGTTCGATGTAGTGTGGGTATCAAAACTAATCCTCATTTTTACAAAAAAAAAAAAATGAGAATCCCTTCCTTTAAAGACCTCATAATTATATAAATGATACAAATGTGTAGCAAGCGTAACAGTACTCATTTACTTTTAATCCCTTCTCTTTTTTTCTAATTATTGCAGTCATCCCAATTCACTTTTCCTTTCTTTTACCTTTTCACTTTCATTCTCATTAAAGTATAAGTTGATATTGGAGGCGAAGATATGAATTTAGTCAAATTGATATGAAAAGGGTACTACTCTATAAGTTTAAATATTTAAATAAATTTAGTACAATTATTGCATAGTTTGTCAAAAACATATCACTCTTAATTTTATATATGAATATGATAACCTCACTCCCCTACTTAAGTTTGAGCTTATGTATGCCTTTGGTACTTTCATTACATCAAATGATTAAGTTACAATCTCATTTAGTGTGATTAATTAAAGTTGGAGTCCATATCCATTAGTATAACTTTTTTCGTTATATGGATCATCTCTAGTAAGAAAAATTGTGCTTTCTAATTTTGTTCATCATGAGTAGTGTATTAATCAATGTATGTGTGTGGTTCCTTTTTTATCGCTATATTGAGAAGGGAATTCAAACACGTGACCTTACGGCTAAGAAACAAATGCTTTTTGTAAATGTACTTTGATCTAGGTCCAAAAGTTTGAGCTGTGATTGAATTTAGTCCATTGTCCTATTTTGATATTTTAATTGAGGGCATCTTCAATGGGCCCCTAAATTAGCTCCTAATTAGAATATAGAGTGTAAAACAAATCAAGTCCAACATGCTCCTATCCACTTTCTAAGTTACGGATTCATATGGGAGCTCTTAAGTGTAGGGAGGAGAAAGGAGGTCCTAGTGGCTCTTTATAATTGATGCTTATTGTTTTAATATTATTTTAAATAAATAAGTATTCTAAATGGTTAATTATTGACTCATAGTCATTATGATTTTCTAAAGTACGGAGTAAAGTTGAAGGACAATTTTTTTCAGAGAACTTATAAAATAACTTTTTGATAGTTTTTATTAAAACTTTGCTATAAAATAGAGAACATTGTTGGAGACACTTTAAATCTCTTTAGTTAAATTTCTTGATAATTTTACTACATTTTTAACTTGAGTAGTTATGGAGACCACCTTTATATACTTTTTGATGCAGCAAGTGATATATATTTGCCATGTCAATTAATAAATTTAGCTCATTAAGTGTCGATTATATGCATTACTTTCCACATAAGATGGTTTTCCAATGTGGTGTAAACATTTGATCCCTTAGCATTACTCTTTTTTTTTTTTGGCAGTGATCATTCCCTTTTATTAAGAACTTTTTTACCAAATAAGAGGGAATAGTAATTGTGACAGCCCGTCCCAGAAATATCAAAAACGTACGCGTGAAAAGATAGTTTTGCCCCTAGTTCGTTTTCGTTACGTTTATTGGTTGTTTTTGTGTTGTGTTGGCATGTTTTGGGCCACACACTCACACTCCCACACCCCACACCTTTCTGTCCCTTTCCCTGTGATTGTCCCGAGCCCCATTTCCCTTCCCATTCACCATATACGTACGGACACACACCCAAAACCCATTAAACCTCCACAGATCGAAGAAACCAAGACCATATTCGAGCTCGTGAGGCTTGTAGGAGTCCAACTATACCATTTTCAGGTAAGAACACCATCGTTTTCACGTCGAATCCACGATGTCTGAATTCGAGTACTGTTCATGCACACGTGATTTCTCACATTTTAGGGAATTTCAAGCTTGTAGGTAGCTTGGTGAGGTCCCAAGGAGGCTCGGAGTGGTTCGTTTGAAGGATTTGGACGTCGGGATCACTAGTTTCGAAGTTGGCCGGAGTTGGGTTGAATTTTCAGGTGAGATTTCATGGTTTTTAACCCTTGAAAGTAGTATGATTGTGTTCCTCTAGTTCTAAGCTTCATTTTGGTACCAATATTGTGAAATTTGGTTGAAAAACAAAGGAGTTAGGACGTTTTAAAGTTTTCGCGATTTTTCGGCGCCGGAGGCTCGCCGGGGAAGAAGACGGAATATTCCTTCAAATCTGACGGAATATTCCTAATGCCGTTGACGGAAACCGTTAAGGTTAACGGAATATTCCCTACGGCGTCAGTTGACGCCGTCAGCGTGCCAGGCACGTGCCTGCGCGTGGCCGGCGCGTGGGGACGCGTGCGGCGATGAAAAATTATTTTAAAAATTTGGGAATGTTCGTGAGGTTGAGTAGATCACGTTGGTGTATGCATACACCCCATTTGAGCATTGTATGAGAAGTTATTTCTAAAGTTTGGTTATGTGCTTTAAAATTAACGTTTTTATAGTTATTTCGCATATAGGTGAGACGTATCCCGAGGACGAGCGTGGTCACTCGAGGCAGGGGGGTTACGACCCTTCCACTTACCAGTGAGTGGGCTTTTGGTTTTCCGTATATACCTATATACTTATATTTTCCCAGAAATTGATTTGAATTGTTATTTGCCATATGCCATGCATTAGATTATCGTTAATTATGCATTGTTAGTTACATTATTAGTTGTAAATATATACATATGCATATTGGGTGCTGCGGACGCACAGGTAAGTGCCAGGTAAGTGTTATTCACGTTTATATTCAGTAGTGATTTGAGATGCTTAGAGAGCTCATAACCTGCACCCCCGGTTTTAGTGCTCCCGCCCAGAGTAGGGCACAGTCATTCACGTGTTGTTCACCTCCCGCACCACACGTTCAGCTTGGATCCAAGTTAGGTGCACAGTCCTGTCGTACAGACCACTTTAGGTGGTTCCGACTCGTAGGTGACCCACGATTATTCGCACAGCCTTCACGTGATCGTAGCACTAGAGCGTTTATATGTATTACACCCAGGCCTGTCGTACAGACCACTTTAGGTGGTTCCGACTCGTGGGCAGGTTTAGTTATTGAGATTGAGATTGGAGCTCTAGATGCAGCCGTACAGGTCACGTTAGGTGACTCCGGCTGCCAGACTATATGATATTGATATGATTCTTACCTGAGCACTTGCATTTCATTGTGAGATTTGGCATGGCATATCTTGATGCATGATTGGTATATATATTTGTACACATGTTTATTTTTTGGGAAGTATACAGGTTTTACGGCGAGGGGTTAAAACTTATTTTGTTAAATGGTTTTCGAAAAGCTTTGTTTTTGCCCACTCACGCTTTTGTTTTGCGCCCCTCCAGGTTTTAGCTATCTAGCAAGTTTGGTGGTTTCCCAGAGGGCTTTCCTGGCATTTCTGACAGACGATCACCAGCGTAGGGCCACCTTCGGGTGTACTGTTGTCGCGTCATTGTAGTTTGGACTGCTTTAGACTTTATGCTCTGAACTTGTGTCTCACTTACGCTAGCACTTATTATCTTTTACCTTATGTATGCTAGTTTTTAATTATTCGTACTTCTTCTATTATTGTTTTATTAGCTTCCGCACTGTGCACATGGTTACGTCACCTCTGCGTGATGGCCAGCACGCCCTGATCTCGGTCGGGGTGTGTCAGTAATAGTATAGTGCTATCCACACACCCCTTTTTACTTCCTACACACTCTTCTTAATTTTCGATTGTTGGATTGAATGAATTGATAAAGATCAAATGACAGAAATTAACAAAGCATGTATAAGGTAAAAATGAGTGTTGAATAGCACCACCCTATTAATATACAAATAAGTTTTTTTTTTTTTTTTTAATGTGTCATTTCATGTGAGAAGTTTGTACATGCCACGTGAATTAGTAAATTTATTTCATTGAGTATTTGTTGTATGTCACTTGCCATATTAAATAGGACACCAATGTGGT